TAGCCATGTGACGATGCACTCTATGAACATTAGTTAAAAGAGAACCTCTGTAGAGAAGCCATAAGAATTGTTTAATACGTTCAGGACCAGGCCAAGCCCAAATTACCTTCCAAATCCTATCCTGATGATAATGCGAGGTACCCATGAGATAGTTATAAGCTGATTTCACTGAAAAAACCCCATCTTGGCTACCTGCCCAAATATGATTTTTTTTTAATTTACCTCTTTTTAAAAAAATTAAATAAGAAAAAGGCGCACTAACCATTAAATATTTCATCTTTCGCTTTTCTCATTTTTTTCTCATAAATCCCAATTCGGACACATAAATGGTTTCGGTCGTGTCTTGTTTTGGCATCTTTATGTTATGTGATACCCATTAAGATAAATGTTATATTGACAAACTTTTTTTTACAAACTTACAAATTGATCTGACCGATCAGGCTTCATTCAAGAGTGTCTTACTAGTCAGATATAGTGTAGTTTGTAAGAATTTATAAACAAAAAATTTGTAAATATAACCTTATCTTAATTTATATATCATTGGTTTATATTTTATTAACAAAGTTCATAACTACTAGAAAAAACTTGTATAGCGACGGAATTGTTATGGAAATTCCGTCGCTAATTTCATCCTCGCTACTACTTTCCGTCACAAATTCCCTCGCAAACGATTTTGCGAGGAAATTTGCGACGGAAAGTAGTATAGAGGATGAAATTAGCGACAGAATTTTCATAGCAATTCCGTCGCTATAGAGATTTTTTCTAGTAGTATAAATTGGGAAAGTAAATATTTTTACTTCAACTGTATCATGATTTATCTATAAATAAAGAGTAAAGTCTCTTTTGAGTCCCTAATAAAAAATAAGAACCCAACTTTAGTCCTTTAGAAAAAAATTAGTCTTAAGGTCCATAAGAAATTCAAAGTGGACCCATTTTAAATCTTTTGAAGAATTAATGTTGGTCTTTTTAAAATTTGTGAGGGACCATGATTTCAACTAAACGGGTCTACTTTGAATTTATTAGGGACCTCAGAACTAATTTTTTTATAAAAGACTAAAGTGGAGACTATATTTTTTGTTAGGGATCGACCCAAAATGAATTTTACTCATAAATAAATGTGATCTTATACTTGACATGCTGATTTTAAAACAAGACGCTACTTCAAACGCACCCTGGGGCTTGCATCAAAGCACTAATGGCAAGATGTAACTCGAAGGGAGAGTTGGAGAGCCTAACCGCGTCAGATTGGAAAGAGTTTGGGGTGCACAGTTCATCTTATCACCTGAGCTATAAGTAGTTACTACACCGCAAGTGCAGTCTTAGATCCCAACCCATTTTTTAACCTTTTGGAGTTGACTTTGTATAAACCACATATGTATCCTCTTCAAGAGAGGTAATTCTCTTTGAATTGAGAATATTCACATCAGGTTGAGATTAATTATTTCAGAACAGATCTTTTGCATTTACAAAAATTTAAATTCAAATCCTTACTTAAACAAAATCAAATATATACAATTTGAACCAATTTTTTCTGAAGGAGGAATATTCTCACTATCAACTTTTTGTACTATTAACTTACTACCTATCTAATCATCATTAGATTAATATTTTTTATCTCTCAAATTTTTTTTAATATTCTCTCTTTTTTTTTTTTTTTGAGTTACTCAACCCTAATTATCTCTTTGAGACGAGTTGGCTCCCTCCGGTATCCCCACGAGCTTCGACTCTTTGAGCCGGCTATGAGACTAATCCGGAGTGCAGGGGAACAGTGATGGCTAAAGGTTCAACTCCCTCTCCAAGAATGCATTCAGCGGGAATCGAACACATATCCAACCCCACTAACTCAGCGACAAATTATCAACTGCATCCATTGGGTTTAACATTCTCTCTCTTTAATACCATGATGATGTAATGGATAATAAGTTAATAATAAAAAAAATTTGGTAATTAAAATATTTCTGCTCTTTCTTCTGTTACCTTTTTGGAGTTGACTTTGCAGCTTAATAAATCCCTGTCAGGTTTTCGCCAAATCACTTGAATATAAATACAGATGTCGGGTACAGTCCCTCTCACTTTATCTATTGTGGTGATGTTAAAAGTGTGATGAACTGGTAAACATCTAATCTACTTTTTATATTGACTTCACTTGGTTTTTTAATAATTAATGTGAAATTCCATACACTTAAAAAGCCCAACCTACGATGCCTTGGTCTCTATTTTCTTGAAAAATGGATCTTTTAAACTTCATATGAAAAGAAAAGCCAGACAACCAGAAGGTCACTGCTTCACTTTAGCTGTGTTTTGCACAATTCGGGTAAAAGTATGTTTAATCTGATTTTTTTAATTATTATTATTATTATTATTATTATTATATATATATATATATATATATGATGTAAGATCCTTTGACATCGGTGTCAAATTTGAAGTTTGACAACTCTTCTGAGAGCTGTTAGATCAAAAAAGATAAACGACTGTGATTTGTAAGCATGTGATACCGTTGATCTTTTTTGATCTAACGACTCTCAGATGAGGTGTCAAACTTCAAATTTGACACCGGTTTCAAAGGATCCTACCTCTATATATATGTGAGGTAGGATCTTTGACACCTCATCTGAGAGCCGTTAGATAAAAAAAAAAAATCAATGACTCTGATTTATAAGCATTTGACACCATTGATCTTTTTTGATCTAACGGCTATCAAATGAGGTGTCAAATTTAAATTTTGACACTAGTATCAAAGCATCCTGCGTCTATATATATATATATATCAAATAATGACATTTACATTATACTGTTTTTTTATTTCTCTTTTTAGATCATAAAATATTTTAACATTCATTCTCAACTTCTATATTCCTCAACTGGAAAAGTATAAAACATATATCAATTATGATATGTGAATATCAGAGTCGATATCTAAATAAGAGAAATGATTTGTACACATCGTTTTTACATTTACATTTTTTTTTTTTTTTTTTAAAAGAATATCTTTTTTCTCGTTTCATTATTTGAAGAAGAAGTAATATAAGCCTGTTTGGATCCTCTTATTTTTAAGCTAGAAGCTACTTATAAGCTAAAGCTAAAAAAAAGAGCTTAAAAAAATAAGCTAAAAGCTGTTTGGAAATTACATAAAAGTTTTAGCTTAAAAATTACTTAAAAGCACATATTTCAAGAAAATTATCTCTTTCTATCTTTATCACTCTTTATTTTAAAAAAAAAGCACACAATTCAAGAAAAACAGATAAGAGCTTTAAAAAAAAGCTCCTCCTAGGAGCTTTTAATTTTCAGCTTTTTTCTTCATTATAAAAAAAAGAACTTTTCGTTATAAGAGCTTTTTCCAAAACCTGTTTGGCCTAGCTTATAGCTTAAAAAAGAGAGGATCCAAACAGGCACTAAATATAGTGTAAATAAAGTGAGTGCAAATAACATCATCCAATAAATAATGGAAATAGGCAAGGGACCACATTTTGTGCAGTATAATTAAACAGAGCTTATCTTCTTATCTCCTCTGCTTTTTATATGCTGTAATACTTCAATCTCAATTTTTGTGCGCTTCTCTCCTCTCTGTTTATATAAATTTCCAGTTAGGTTCTCGCCTGGTTTCAAACATACCAATATCTCCCACTCTTAAATGGGTACCCGCAACAGAGAAGCTAAGATTATCCTCTACTTAGGCAATATTATTAGACGAGAATAATTCGTTTACAATTTTTTTTTTTTTAAATTATGCTGACCGAACATACAATTTTGATTGAAGTACGACCGTTAAAACATAATGTAAGAATTTGTAAACAAAACGTTTGTAAATATAACTTCCCATTTATTAAATATGCAAAATTTGACGCGCTTCAGAATGTATTTTAATTAACTGACATATTGTGTTAAATGCTCTTAATACTGCCAGCACAAAATTTTATTGACTTGCTCATGCTCATGAAAACTGAAAAGCTACTAAAAAATGAAATGTAAAGTTGATTACCATTACTCTGAAATTTGGAAAAAGTGTGCTATAAAAAATTGTAACCAGATAAAAAAAGATGAACACCATGCATGCAGCCAGGCTCTAGTAGCTGCAGTAAAGTGCATTATAGGAGGGTAAGCTGTAACGTTTCACTGCCAGTTCCCAATCCACCTCGGAAAGCGTTCCAAGTGCAGTGATTCGATAGGATCTAACTCAGAGAACAGTGAGCTTTCACATCTAATATTTTTTTTATTTTATTTTTTGGATTATTGGGACCACTCCACGCTCTTATCTCATTCATCCATCTCTACCTTTGCTGCACCTTTCGCCGGTGACGGAGGTGAGTGAGAGCTTGTAATGAATATTTATCTCCCAGTGTGGTTCTGACAAATGTCATGTGACTGTGGGGCTACATGGAACTTTATCATAGAAAGTGGTAAATATCCAAAACAAAGAACTATAAGTAATAAGAAGGATCGCATAAAACTTTGATGAAAGAAGCTGGTTCATGCACCAGCCTTACCGCTAAGGATGTGGTCCCTTTCTCTTATTGTCAACCATTGATCTTAAATGCTTCCACCTTTGACCTTTCACTAAGATATAGATCAATGGTGGAAAAGAAAGAAACCCTTCCTAGAGGCAACCCCACACATCATGGGCGGTCTCCATTTAATAAAAATGTAACTCATCACTCCAATATTAATGTAAATAAGCTTCACAGATTTTTCTTTACGTTTCCATAAATAAAATATTGCTCTCAAGTTGCTATAAAAGGCCTCCCATTACAGAGTGCCCTGCTAGATTTTCGCTGTTGGTCGGTTACATAGATAATAATCCTTCACTTTCTGCAATCTCTCTACTATTTTATTCTTTCTCTCTGCTTGCTTCTGCTACAAACCCTACTTCAGCCCCTCCCATACTCTGCTCCTCACTTTTCTCAACCTCTCCTTAGTCCTTCTTCCTTCTTCCTTTCCATTCCTCTCTCTCTCTCTCTCTCTCTCTCTCTCTTTCTTTCTCTGACTACAGCGCGAAATTCATGGACGTGGACATATTGAAAACTTCACCAAGTGACAGCAGCATGGACATGATGGCAATGATGATGCAAATGGAAAAGTTCCCGGAATTATCTGAACCTTTTTATAACTCTCTCACCTACCCTGAAATTGATTTCTCAGGTGGAAGCTTCACTAATTCTATTCCTGTTTTCTCAAACATTAACCCAAATGTAACCCCACCCACTTTGATTAACACATCACCATCCTCTTCTAATTTCGTTAACAATGTTCCTCTACAACAACCCATGACACCACCCCTTCAACCCAACGAGGTTGCTCCAACTACAGGGAGGCTCAACGCTTCATTTTCCTACCCTTCATCGGAGAAAAAGAATTCTATTGCAGCCATGAGAGAAATGATTTTCCGAGTAGCAGTTATGCAACCTATTCATATAGACCCAGAATCTGTCAAGCCACCGAAGAGACGCAATGTGAAGATTTCAAAGGATCCGCAGAGTGTGGCAGCAAGACACAGAAGAGAAAGAATAAGCGAGAGAATAAGGATCCTGCAGAGATTAGTTCCTGGTGGGACGAAAATGGACACGGCTTCCATGTTAGATGAAGCCATACACTACGTGAAGTTCTTAAAGAAACAAGTTAAGACGCTGGAAGAAGCAGGGGCAAGTAGACCCTTAAATGTTGTTGGATTCCCAAGGGTGTCCAACGCCAATGTCAATTATTCTGATATATTGAAGGGTTGCCAACCTTGTCAAATGGTGGGTTCTGCTTTTAAACAAATGCTCAGTTGAGAAGACAGAAGGGGAATTTGCTTCATATACGGATGAAAATCAATGAATTCTGTAGTGTATTGAAGCATGGTTTGGTAGTCATGGGATTGTAAAGTCGATCAGTGTTAATATTGTCACTGTTTCGAGAATTTCTTTTTCTTTTCCGACCTAAAACGGGAATAAGAAAAAAAAGTCAATAAGCTAATGGATGATTCTGTTCTCCATTTATCTTTCCTTCTTTCTTTTCTATTTTATAATCAGTCTACTCAGCTACACTCCACGCCCTTTTATTTATAACCGTAAAGGATCAATTCAACCGCAGAAGATGTTAAGTGAAATCTCTTTAATGGTTTTATAAATTTATAACACGCTCTCTCACATGAGTGTTAAGAAATTCTACAAAGAAAATGAGGTAGCGAGAATCAAACTCGAGACACAAAAGATTTCGATAAAGAATCAATTTAACTCAAAAATTTAAGTTGTTAAGTGAAGGTCTCTTAAATAGTTTTATATATCTCTAACACTATATCTAATAAGAAAGAATATCATAAAATTGTTTGAATATAATGACAAGCAAATCTTTTGCATAATCTAGACTCTTATCGATTACAATTAATAAAACAAAACTTTGACCGATATATACACGTACTATTATTTTTGTCTTCTAAATGTCCAACTCTAATGGACCAATTTTCAGTTTTTGATCATCTGTATCTCTTTGTGAGATCACATGCAATGCAATTCAGCGTTTTATTTCAACCCTGCTGATTGACACTCCACTACAATGCACAGCAGCCTGAAGCATGCATGCAAATGCATTCAGGATACTATATATTGCTTTTTCTTCCTTTAGCCTTCAAACAATGCAACCAAATTCAACATTATTTTGAGTAGATCAGCAATTATTTTCGTTATTTGAAACAGGTCTTTGATGAAATTGCTTTGATTTGTCCTTCCGTAGGCTAATTATAAAAGAATGATACATTGATACTGTATTTTGGTCGAATTGTACATGGAAATTACGGGAATTAGATCAAGAAATTAACGAGGGGATTAGAGGAAGCACGTGAAAATTACGTCTTAAATATTTCTATATATAGTGTGATTTTTGTGTATAAAAAATCTTTAATCTTTCTTATATATTAATTTCTAAACAGTTCTTTCCACATTTCTATATTAAAAAAAGTGTGAAAATAATGTGGATATTTTAATGTGTAAATTTTACTACTCATTTGTTTCGTTGTGATCAAATAATTTCCGTGAAAAATTTTCATTCCATTTTGTAATGTTCAGCTACACGATACATATCACTAGGTAGCGGTACGTGAACTAACTTTGAATTCATTTCCTTTGCGATTTGAGTTTGTACCACCACAACCAATGTGATAAAAGAACAAATCATATTGTAGCGAAGTGTTATTTTGTTTACATGAGATGCAATGTGCAATTCGGGTTAAGTCATATATAGGCTGGGAAATTGTGATTTATTATTTATTTTTTTGTTTTACATGTGTATTTTCACCTATTTAGATGATACTAATTTTCTTCTTGACGTAAAAAGCAAAACTTTTTGCCACTTATCCGAAGTTATCTGGCTTCTAGGAATTGATCTAGAGATTTTTCAACCCTAATAGTTTGCTCTTTGGGCATTGTACGAGTTGTGCAAGGTAGAAATTGTGATTTTTAAGTGAGCTTTTCTAGCCTATGAGAAGAAGAAAAAAAAGGTGAGCTTGTGTGCAATTTATACGTAATTAATTGCTGTTACAAAATACAAATTTTTTCACTTTCAACATTTTCATTCGTGGAAAAATATTGGCTCTTCAAAATATTCTTTAGTCGTATGGATATTATACTCTTTCATTTAGTTATCCAGTTAAATTTAATTTGCTTCAATTATATATATATATAAACACGGAAATTGAAGTCTTGTATGTACTAAGAGCAGCAGGAAAGTCAAATGTATCAAGTTTATACGTTAGAGTGGATGCTCAAAATTAAAACATTGACCATATTGAGTTTTGATAACCAATTGATTTGAATATATATCATATATTATATAGTTTGTTGTCTGCCTTTCACTCGCCGACACTTATACTACTCTAGCTAAGAAGAAAAGGGGCCTGGGAGGGTAGGAGAAGTAGGTTGCCTCCCACCGCAAGGTCGAATAATTTGGTTGTTCATGTCTCAAGGATCATGCCTAAAAAATCTCCTATTTTTTCTTAATCTATGTGATCAAAATCTACTATTTTTGTATTTAAAAAGAAAAAAAGAAAAAGCAAGGTGAGAGAAATACGGAGAAGTCAGTTTAGTGAATTCGGTCCATGTGAAATAGTCTACTAGGGACCCATACTCCCAAAGAGATGGGATTTTTATTATTATCTATTTGTGAATAAAAACTAAAGAACTAAAAGAGGCATCCTGCATTCTGCATATGCATTATCTCTGCACCTTGCTCCCTTTATTGCAGTGCATTGTATCGTCCTTCTCTAGCTCATTCCTCCTATCATATTCCTATCTTTTTGTTTCATTCTGCATGTATATATTTTTTTTTTTTACACTTTTCTCATGTGACATAAGAAAGAAAATTTTCTTGCACATTTATGAAAAATAATGTGAGCAATTTTATTTTATTTTTATTAAATGGTGGGGCTCATTTTAGAAGTGAGATTTCATGTTATATGATAAGTGATTTCCCCTTTTTTTTTTGGTACATTACTCTTCATAATCTATTTTAAGAATATTATAAATACTTGTTTTTTTGGTACAAGAATATTATAAATACTTAATCAATAAAAAATTACACTGATATATTGTTTTTAAAATAAAATATGTAAAAAACAGCCGAAGATGTAAGCATCTCTATCTTTTATCTTTTCCCAAATTCACCAGATATTATCCTATATGGAATGGGGTATGCTCCATTTTTCCTTGTGGAATGTACACCGACATTGCTTATAAAAGTTAAAAGCCGTTAACGTATGTCCTTTGATAAATGGTATCAATTAATAGTATTTCCATTGATTTAAAACTGTACATCAATGTATCTTAAATAGAATAGGCTGTTACGGCTGTTACCAAACAGTCTGTTACCAAATAGTAAAACAACTTCGTAAAGATAAATAACTACACCTAATTACAATAGGACTCAGTTATACATATCCTAACAAACTACAGGTTACAACATATCACAGCAAATCATAAAAACATATAGAATCTTCTATTCCAACATTCCCCCTCAAGTTGGAGCATGAAGACATGAAATGCCTAACTTGGAAAGAACGGCAAGAAATGGAACACGACCAAGTGCTTTGGTGAAAATGTCTGCGAGTTGCAAATGAGAACGAACAAAAGTAGTTCGAATCGTCTTAGAAACCAACCTTTCCCGGACAAAATGGCAATCAATTTCAATGTGTTTAGTTCGCTCATGGAACACAGGATTTGCCGCGATATGTATAGCGGCTTGATTATCACAACATAATTCCATAGGATCATCATGGATAACATCAAGTGAAGCAAGTAAAGACTTCAACCATATCAATTCTGCTGTCGCGGCAGCCATGGAGCGGTACTCAGCCTCTGCTGAGGAGCGTGAGACAGTGAGTTGCTTCTTTGTTTTCCAAGAAACAGGTGAGGTTCCAAGCATAATGAAGAACCCAGAAACTGACCGGCGAGTTAAAGGGCAGCTGGCCCAATCTGAATCACAGAAAGCATGAATTTTGAGATCACTTTTGGAAGAAAGGAGGATACCTTGGCCAGGATTCATTTTGATGTATCTTAGTACCCGAATGGCAGCCTCATAATGTGCTTCCTTTGGAGCTTGCATGAACTGTGAAAGAGTGTGCACTACATAACTCAAATCAGGACGAGTGATCGTAAGGTACACTAGCTTGCCGACAATTCTTCTATAGCGACCTGGATCATCATAGTCAGGTCCATCTGCCAGAGCTAAGCGATGATTCTGTTCAATTGGAAACTGAACCAGTTATACATATCCTAACAAACTACAGCTGCACTTCTGCCTCACAATCATTTGAAGTTGATTGAGATACTGGATTGGCAGAATCATTAGAATCTATTGGTATAAATGTAGGTAATGATGGGCTAGGTGTAGGCACACTTATAGCAACAAAAGGAAACTCATCTTCGTGGAAACTGACATCTCGTGACACAAAGAATTCCTTAGTATTAAGATCATACACTCTCCAACCTTTCTGCCCATGAGGATAACCAACAAACATACACCGCCTAGACCGTGGACTAAATTTGTTTGTAGGTTTTGGTTGTGTCACCGCATAACATAGGCAGCCAAATATCCTTAAGTGACTGTAATCAGCAACAGATCCATGCAAAAGCTCATAAGGAGTTTTGCCATTGAGAAGCTTTGTGGGAGTTCTATTAATAATATGAGCTGATGTCATCACACTCTCTCCCCAGAATTTGATTGGCAAGTTTGCTTGAAACAAAAGAGCACGAGACACATTTAGAATATGCCTATGCTTCCGTTCTACCCGACCGTTCTGTTGCGGCGTATGAACATTGGATTTCTGATGAAATATACCATTGGCAGTGAATAATTCAATCATCTTGTTGGAAGTAAATTCAGTTCCATTATCTGATCTAATACTCTTAACTGTTGTATTAAACTGATTTTGCACCATTAAAAGAAATTTTCGTAACACACCAAAAGTTTCACTTTTGTCACCTATCAAACAAACCCAAACAGCACGACTGAAGTCATCGACTATCGTTAAAAAATAATAAGCACCAGAGAAAGAGGAAGTGCGGTAAGGACCCCATGTATCACAATGAAGAAGATCAAAAATTTTATTACTCTTTCGATCACTAATGGGAAACGAGGATCGATTTTGTTTGGCACGATAACAAATATCGCATGCCTTATTGTTTACATTGCCAAATCGAATGCTACTAGAAAAAGGAATCAGAGAAAGTGCTTCGGATGATGCATGGCCCAACCGCTTGTGCCAAAGTTCTTGCGTATCACTGGAGCGAACTGTTAAAGC